CGTAGTATTTTATAAGATTAGGCTATTTTTGATGGGGCAGGTTAAATTTCGGTCCTAAGTGTCTTCATAGTTGTTCACGTTTTCTATTAAATTTTTGTCTTTTAAATCTTCTGTGCGAATACCACGTCAGTGTGCTGTCTACGTTTAGTCCTATTTGTGTATATTTGATTTGAATGGAAATCGGTATCTATTTGTCGTAGATGTTCTTGTAGTGCAAGACTGTTCAATGTGAAAGCTAAGTACAAATTTTTAAATTCAATCTTGTCCTCCACTTTTTGTACCAATCTTCGATAAGCGCAAGGTGCTCTTGTACGTTGGAGGTAGCTTGGATAGGATTAGAGTTAAAGGACAAAATTGTAATATCGTCCGGATATGTGGTGATGATGTTATTAGTGTGTATACGTAGGTCAGTAGTATAAATGAAATAAAGGGTGGGACCAATAATGCTCCCTTGTGGGAAGGTGGGTTATATCTGTCTTACTTCTGAACACTTGATGACACACCTCTCTCTGAAGCAACGGTCAGTTAGATTCGATTTCAAGATAAGCTAATAAGTTTATAAAGCATTACCGCGTGCGGGATTCTACCATAAGCCTCCATAGATTGTGACTACAACTCCCCAACTTACTGGATAGTGGAATGATGAGGACGGAAGCCGAATTGGTGAGAAGGATGATCTATCCTTCTAGGATGGGTATTAAGCGCTTTAAAATGAGTATTTCCAGGATTTTAGAGATTGAAGGTAGAGCCCTGTTGGCTTGAATTTTTTTAAATAATATTTTTAATTTAAAATTTAATATAACCAAGGGATGATTGCAAGGAAGCGCACATATTTACACTGGCACAACATTTTCTACAATAACCGTCTCCATTACCGGTAAACTGAATTAAATACAAAAAAGTTTATGACAGCAATGTAAATTGGATTTAAAAAAAACTCCATGAAGAAATTATTAATAACTATTTTTTGAGAAATAAAGGAATAAAATTTTCTGCTATGATTTAGTATATATATATATATATACAGCGTAAATAATGTAGTATTAACCCGTTAATAAGTAAAAGTTCGATTCTATAAAAAAATTTAACAATGCAATCGACAAGAAATAAATGAATGCATCAGTTGAATATAAAACAATAAAGTTGGGAGATTTCGTATTTCATATTTGCATACAAAGAGAAGGTACGTGCGTGAATATGGGTCACATGCAATATTTTTACCTTGTCAATTACTATTTCGTCACATTGTTGACAGTAAAAAAAATTATATAACATAAAATATAAGTTTTACTAGAAAAACACAAGGTACATTTTTAAAAAGAATTTTAAAACATTTTTTGCGTTTTTAAATAATCAGATTAATATCTTTCAATTAATTAAGGTTGTTAGTTGAGATAAAAAACTCAGTGTCACGAGCGGGATTCGAACCCACGACCTTCGGCTAGATACGCCGCTACTCTACCACATGAGCTCTGACACTAACTTCCCATCTCCACCCCACCCTTTGAATTTTCCCTCCTTTTTGCCGTTTTTCAAATGTCGTGTGATCTATTTCCGTGTCCGAGTGGATCGAAGTCACGATAGCTCATGTGGTAAAGTAGCGGCGTATATAGACGAAGATCGTGGGTTCGAATCCCGCTCGTGACACTGATTTTTTAATCTCAACTAAAAACCTTAATTAATTGAAAGGTATTAATTGGTCAAGCGGACCACGAAAACTAGTGAATTTAATCAGATTAACCTGGAACTCGGTATGTTTTGTATGAAAAAAAAAATTCACTTTTTCCAAACATTCGACCTATTTTAAGGTCATCATCAGTGCAAAACATACACAACACTATTGTGTTTCAGAACTTGGTAATGTTTGTACTGGGTCTATCTAAGAAATTTGAAACCTTTCATTCAAAGCTTAATTATGTGAATTTGGAGATGTTTGTTTTATTGATCACCTTAAAGTAGGTCGAAAGCAAACAATTTCATTCATACCATACTCGATCTAGATTACTCGTCGACATATCGAACACCTTAAAGAAAAACGTTTTGAGTAGGATTTAATATGCTTAATTTTATATGGAAAAATTATCGTTGGGATTAATCCTGGATAAAAACGTTTAATCACAACAGATATTTGTTTATAAGCAGATCAATGGTCTAATTTTTTTATTGAATAACTTTTTCAAATAACGGATCATTTGTTTACTTTAATTTTATTATTTTTTCGAATACAAACGTTCCTTGTGGTGAAAGGTTTTCGCCGGTTTTCGGGCAAAGACGGCTTTACTACTGTCCGCTCCTAATTATGTTGAGAGCTTGCGGCTCGTTAGCAAATTAGAAGGTACACACTCTGTTTAGGGCTATGGCGGTCATAATTATACGACAGGCTGTCAAATTTCCTTTATAATTCCACTGTACTTTCATGCCAATCTTTACCAGGTTAGTGTAAAAATATTTGTTTTTTTTTTGTATGGACTTCACTTGAATCTTTATTTGCTATCTCTCTGACATAACAATGACAAAACGTATATTTTTTCACAAGTGCACTTTCGACTTTTCAAAAGTTGTTATTTTTCAACTTTGTCAAATGGTTTGTTATTTCACAAGAAACTTCAGTTTTGATGATAACCATAAAAAAATTTATCATTTATTCAAACCAAACAATTAAGAACCATTTTAAGATTTATTATACCCCCTCAGCGCAATCCTAGGCATTCGTGATATGTTCTTCATGTATCAAATAATTCAAAAAAGAAATAACTAGGAAAATAGTTCTACTTTCAATATTGGGCCATGTTGGAACAAAACGAAACGAAAAGCCTACCAAGCAATAAAACGAGAAGTAAGGACGCCGAGTATCCCGAAGAAACCGATGAGTCCAGCGTATGTGAAGATTTTGGAATGTTTCATATGTTGGAAAAAATGGCCGGATCACTGGACGATCAACCTTCAAATCCTGGGCCATAGATGAAATGGAAAAAAAAGAAAGAATGGCCTTGACTCGCTATTGGAGGTAGGCCACACCGGGCTGACACTTGGTCATTGTCTTTTGTGAGGCGTCCAAATATCAGTAACACACCGGATGTAAATGTAAATTAACATTTAGGAAATACATATCTGAAATATTTTATCAGTAAATAAACAAATTGTTCTTCAGAATAAAAACCTAAATCACTCTTGGGCCATGCATTTAATTACTAGGATACGTCCCAGACCACGTTTTCCATCAAAAAACTAAAATAATCGAGATTTATAATAGACCGTTGGAAATCTCATAAAATTTTGGAGTTTTTAGCTGGTTTGATATTTAAAAAAAAATAATCTAACGGAGCTACGGTTTACCATTTTGTAAATATCTACAATATTTACAATATTACTGCAATATTATATACTACAATATTACTGCAAGTAAGTGCAGTTACTTTTTAAACAGACCGGCAACTTTTAGGACAAAACTGGACTAATCTAAAAGGAAATCGGTGTTAAATCTAATCAAGGGGTCAAAAGTTGGGAAAAGTTACGTTAGAGTAGGGAAAATTCAGGTTTTGTATAAAGAAACATGTTTAATAAACGTAAATAAACACTAAAAAATTGTAACTTTTGAACGAACTGAGATAAAACCGTGAGCTTTATGGCATTCTACTCCAGTTACCAAAAACCCGGTGACTACTTGATCATGTAAATGTATTTATTTGGGCAAGTGTTGAAGATAGAGTACCCACTGCCTGCCCAACCGATTAGGATAACCAGTATAGTAAATGCATGATTTTTACACCATGTTAATGTATTTATTGGCTTGAATGAAAGGAGGACGTCAAGGTGTAAAACGCCTTGCCAGCGTCCCAACTGTAGATTTACTTTGTGAATAATTTTAACGTAATTGTACGGGTGGTGTCACAATTTATCGAGAACCTCTAAGAGCCGCCCAACTTAAATTAGGTTATCACCTTAATAGTATGAACGTGTATTTTAATTCACTTAGGACATTTTCACCACGCGTGGAAGGGTTAAACGTTAATGATAAATGTAATGAATAAATGAGGTACATAGACAAAACCGATAAGATTCAATAATTTTCAATAATGTTTTTATTTTTTAAATGCCATTATATATTATTTTTAATTTATTGAAAATACTTATATTTATAACAGGGTAGGAGGTTTTCTTTGTTAAATTGTAAATAAAAAAGAGAAAAAAGTTTAATATACGTTTTAGGGATATTCCTCTTTCCACAAGGAATTGAGTTTCAATATTATGAACCCAGACAATTTTTAAGCTGAATGATTGCTGAACTTTGGTTAGAATTGATCTTAGCATTTGGGGGATGGAGCGAGGAAAAGTTTGTCCTTGTGGTCTGTAGAAGTTAGGCTGTTATTGTTTCTCAGATCCGTGCAAATATCTCAGTTGGTAACAACTTCTAAAGCAAAACGCTTCGAATTTGATTAACTGGTAAACAGTTCAGGATTTAAAGAAAGCCTTTAATCATTTCCTTCTAATAATTGATTGTTTCAATTTATCAGTGACAAGGGGAAAATGTTTTATTCAATCTCAACTTCGATCTAACTCAACTCGATATAAGTCAGGAAATAAAATCTATTTGTTTAAGATACCCAGTAGGAACTTCGTATGTCAAAACTAAGCAGATTTGACCGTCAGATTAACTGTTCAAACCAAGTTCTAAGTTATAAATTGATGACGGAAAGCGTTGACTTCGTATGAGAGCTTTGTAGTTTCTCAACAGGCTTCTTGTTGATTCATTAGGGGGTCCAGGAAGAGGCACCGCCTTACAAATTGCCACCCAGCCCACACTGACTAATGGCTACAAGCAGTTTAATGCGCTTCGTCTTTACTTATCATTAGTATCAATTTAGTTAATTCGACCATTTGTAAGCGGTATCGGCGGGCATATCGAATCGAACTGCGGATGGTTTTCCGAAGTTTTGATAATTGCCGGCTCTCGGTAAACCATCTGGGACGATATCAGTTTGTACACTTTAGTCGCTTACCTTTGCTTTTTCACGTTCGGTAGTAATGATGCCGGCATCAAGTGTTCGTTTTCGTTATCTCCTTCCAGAGCTGAAAACGAAAACAAAACATTTTAAAAAGTTTTTCTACAAATTGGAAATTTTTACCATACAATTTTTCATTTAAAAATCGTAAAATTTAATCTATCATTTTTATAGTTAATGTATAATTTCTTTCTTTCCGATCATTTTGAGCTGTCAAACGATAAGTACTGATCAATTTACTTTGCCCGCCAATGTTCCACAGGTGTCACTTCATCCAAACCGTTTCGGCTTCACGCCAACTTAGTGAAGAACGAGATTTTTTAAAACAAATGGTTTTTCACTGGAGACAAATTTACTTCACTTGAGAACACCCATCGACACTTCATGGCCCAAAAAACCCTGAGATGTTCTGCCAGGTCGGAATTGAAAAATTACATAAAATTCAACAGGTAGTGGAACCAAATGGCTTATATATTTTTTTATGGTCTGTTTACAACTTGAAATTTTTATTGAATATCAGGTCAAAAAACGACATGGTTTTATTTTAAGACTTGATTTGACGTTTAAAACGGCAGTCGCACAAATGTCTCTAAAGTCAAATTTAAAGTTTGTAAAATTCTAAAATCAAGTGTTGAAATCAATTTGACTTTTGAAATAAACACTCCTATATTAAACAACTTTTTATGTTGCTAAACTTTTTTACACTGCAAATTCCAACATCAAACCGCTTTTCTTCACTTGTTTTAATTAATTTTGAACTAACTTTGTTTAGCAAACATTAATTAACAATGGCCACACCCTCTTGGAGAAGATGACCTAGTTTAATCGAAAAATAATCGATACGTAATATTATATAATATTGCATTAGTATCGTCATGGTAGATTCTGTCACGTAAACTATTTCTTTCATTTTTTCAAATATTACGGAATTGATAAAAAAAGTCTTTAAAAGTAGATATGGGTGTTGATTTAAATTGTCCGTTATCAGCAGTGCTTTTAAACCAAAGCCATTTTCACCTCTTACTAACGGACGGATCTTTGCGCTTTGCGGGCCGCCCTCAAACCGAAATCTGATCTTTATGCCGTTCAAGCTTGCTGGCTTACCCAAATTTCATTCAATGAGAAACTACATTTGGCAGTGAAGGATACCTCAAGAAACTGAAAGTAACTGTGGCTTTCTGTCAATTTGAAGTGCCTAGACATATCCCATGGGAAAATTTACGTAAAATTTGCAAGCCACTACTTTCACTTTAAGAAAAACACCTTGCAATTTTTATTCTTACTTCACACTCAGAGTGTCAGACATTTTTAAATACTATGTTTCCTATTTACATACCTATATTTAACATAACTAAGTTAAGACAATTAATTAAGGTTTTTAGTTGAGATGAAAAAAAGTTAATGGCACGAGAGGGATTCGAACCCACCACCTTCGGCTAGATACGCCGCTGCTCTACCACCTGAGCTATCGTGACCTCGATCCACTCGGACATCAACTCCCCATCTCAACCCCACCTTATGAGTTTTCCCTCCTTTTGCCATTTTTCACTAACTAAAGTTAGTTTAACTAAGTTAGTGAAGTAACTCGAAGGTCAGGTGGGTACTCAACTTTGCCTCAACAGCCGTCTCACACTGCACCTTCAAGCTAATAAATACATTCAGTCTCAATTTATACACAAAACGAAACATCTGCCAGTACTGCATGCAGCAAAATAGACTCAAATACTAGCTGGCCTTTTACAACGCTTGTATCGGCGCTCCATAAGGGAACAAAGAACTAGTAGTAGTACTATATTTATTAACAAATTACATTGGACATAGGTACTACGTAAATCCTTTTTAAAAAGTTAGTTCCTACTCACAGTAAGTTGCCTTTCAACGATCCGGATTTATTCTTTTAACTAGCAACCTGTCAATAAATATATTTCTAGACACCCGTTTTTTTTGCTAAGGTTTTAATAGTTTCTATTTAACACTTGCCTAAATCGAGCAAATTTTCGGAATTTAAGGACCATCTAAAAGAAACAAAACACAATTTCAATCCAAATTTAAATAGAACAGTGTTACATAGTTTCACCCAAGGGAGAGAACTAGAGTGGTTTGACAATTTTGAAATTAAAAAATGTAAAATTGAAAATGGTGATAAATGCATTAATAATATAACAGATTTTGATCTATCTCCCATTTTAAATATGTATATAAATAATATTAAACGTCCAAATAGTTAAATTAATTATGTGTGGTGATTAGTGACCGTTAATCGATATTTATTTAGAAATCGTGAGATGCGGTCTGGTGTGATGTAGGTTTCAGAAAAACATTTTTCTTTATCGTGCCAACGTTTCGATCTTTATTGAGATCATCTTCAGGGCTCAAAGTGTTTTTCTTCTGTGTAATTGTGCCATTTTTGCGTGTCGTGTTGAGAGTGCAGACGCAAGAATGGCACAATTACACAGAAGAAAAACGCTTTGAGCCCTGAAGATGATCTCTATAAAGATCGAAACGTTGGCACGATAAAGAAAATGTTTTTCTGAAACCTACATCACTCCAGACCGCATCTCACGATTTCTAAATAAATAAATAAATTATTTTAATTGTTATTATTTTTATTATAATTCAATAATATTAAAGTATCATTCTAATTTTTTATCTTTTACCTTCAATCACTAATTTATAATTAATTTCTTACAGTATTTACTATTATAATATTTATTTGTGTTATAATTCCCGCTTTTCGCACGTTCAAATTGAGCGCCATTAAAAACCAGCTTCTCGTTGGCGGGGGTATCAGCGGGTTCAGTTTTGCAATTCATGTCGAGAGACGTGGTTGTAGAAATCCTTCAACTGATGATGAGCTGAAGAGCTCGAAATCCGGATCATCCAAGGCAACTTACTGCGAGTAGGAACTAGCTTTTTAATATGGATTGAACACCACACTCACTCCATCATTCATCATTTCTAGATGCTACATAAATTTATAATTTAGGGGGAAAGTAGCATGGTTCTGTACATCCTAAATTAATCATCCGAAAATTTAAATACTTTAGGTATATAATGTAGAAATCTTGGATTCACTTAGTGGGGAAAAAGTTTACAACAAACCACTAATCACCTAAGAACGGCACCGTTCAATGAAGTGGGACACATCCAGAAAACTTTCTCTACATTCTGAAGCGGGCTTTGTCCCAAAAATAAGGGTCCGTTTACTCTCTGGCCTATTCATTTATTATGTAGTACGATTTTAGTAGATGTAGTACACTATCGACCCTAATTAGTTATAAAAATTTTGTGTGGGTCGATGGAGGAATATCGAGTACTCCACCGACTAATGGGTGCAATGCAAGATTGTAGTTATATCTACGAACGTATTTATTTGTGTGACTATAATGGGATATGGTTAGTTTTACGCTAGATTATATTTTGAATTTGTTTGGGATTGAAATGACTTACATATCGACAGCTCCCTTTGGGGCCTAACCCCTTTGGTTGGGAAACGCCGAGCTCATGGGCATCTGGCTTAAGGGGAATACCACTAATCACATGAAGACCACGCCACATGAAGACCCCTTGACATATTGACCCTTGGGTCAGCAAATCAGGACGTGACAACCTTTCATAGTGAAATTCGGCAACAAATTGTTAATTAAATTGTAATTTATCACTAATTTATTTTCCGGTATTTTGATGAATTTCAAACCATCATAATTTATAATCATAATACTGTTCATTAAAACATGAATTTCTGATCTCTTTAATTTGGTTCGCATTAAAGTTGTAATTGATAAAATGATAAATATACATCTGGTTTCACATAAACTGCGAACTAGTGTCCCATTTTTATGTCTTTCAGTATATATGTATAAAAAGTTTTAAAAAAAACCCTCTGAGTTGAGAACATTTTGTGCCAAATTACAAGGTAAAATAATTTTTGTTGCCGAGTTTTTTCAAGAAAATGATCCCAGTATGCGACAAAAAAAGGTTCTTCTATTATCTCGGATCTCGTTAAGTTAAGTAGGTGAAACCTTTGAATAACCACAGACGTGATTGGAATGGTATAGAACCTCATTTGAATATGCTAAAGATACTTTGTTACACAGAAAAATAGATTATTTTTAAACATATAGTTATCCAATGTTTATAATATTTATAATTTATTATTAAATCATGGAATGTCGACGTACAAGTAGATAATAGATTCATGCAAATTTCCCTACGTTTACTGACCTACTACATTTTTTTAAATTATCCTAAATGTGTGGTGATTAGTGACCGTTAATCGATAATTATTCATAAATCGTGAGATGCGGTCTGGTGTGATGTAGGTTTTAGAAAAACATTTTCTTTATCGTGCCAACGTTTCGATCTTTATTGAGATCATCTTCAGTAATGGCACAATTACATAGAAGACAAACACATTGAGTGAATAGAAATACTTTGATTGAATATAAAAAATATATTTTGCATTTTATAAATTCAATTTTTTCCACATCCTACATTTGTTAAATGTAAACCATGTTTGTAAATCCCAGGCCCTGAAGATGATCTCAATAAAGATCGAAACGTTGACACGATAAAGAAAATGTTTTTCTGAAACCTACATCACACCAGACCGCTTCTCACGATTTTTGAATAATTATCCTAAATAATCCTTAATGATACCAAACTTTGGTTAATATTTGTTTTTATCAAGCTATTTTTAATCCGAGTTAATCAGGTTTTTCTAGCGAACTAACAATTACAATTAAAATACTTCATTGTATATGTTTTTATTACGGTTTTTTTTATTATAATATTATTTTATTATTATTGTTAAAAAATGGTAAATGTGAAAGGTAGATTTTTTAAATTACATTTAAATATAATAATTAAAAAACACCTTAAATTATCTAGTGACACATTGCAATCGTGATTCTAACCCTGACTTCATTTTTATTCGTGAAAATTATTAATTTTTTACGCAGGCGCAACAAAAAAATTTGTAAAATATGTTGCAATTATGCTGCTTGTCGTAGAAGTATCCGGAAAATATTTTATCAGGCGAAGTTTATAATTTATCATTTTCGTGTT